CTCTCCCAGCCTGTCCTCCCAGCAGAGGGGCTCCAGCCCTCCCAGCATCTCCGGGGCCTCCTCTGGCCCCGCTCCACCAGGTCCATGTCTCTCCTGTGCTGAGGCCCCCGAGCTGGAGGCAGCACTGCAGGGGGGTCTCCCCAGAGCAGAGCGCAGCAGAGGGGCACAGTCCCCCCTCGCCCCGCTGGCCACGCTGCTGGGGATGCAGCCCGGGGTGCCGGGGGTCGCTGGGCTGCCAGCGCACGTTGACGGCTCATGGGGAGCTTTTCCTTTTTAATGCCTTAAATTTGCTTTTTGGTGTTTTTTTTTTAAGTGCAGCACAAACCTTCACAGAGGTGTAAGTGGGGGCTGAAAAGGCCGACGAGCAGTCGCGCTGAGGGCGGTGAGGTGCGGAGCTGGGGGTGCCCCTCCGCTGCCTCAGCCCGTCCCGGCGTGCTGCAGCCCTGGGACGGGGCAGAGCCTGAGCCGCTGCGGGCGCCGCGGCACCGCGGGCAGGCAGTCAGCAGAAGGTTTTGCACCTATTAAGCGTAATCCCCTCCCTGGGTGATCTACGTGCACAGGCAACAAAATTTCGAAGGTCTGCGTGCCATCTGTAGCAATGACTCATTTCTGTGTTCCCGGTTGTTTCAAATTTTCTATGCCAACCAGAAAGCGATGGGGTGCGGGGAAGCTGTTGTAACACGCGTTTGTCTCTGTGCACAGACACAGCAGTCAGAGCTGCAGCACAGAAAATGTGTCTGCCTTAATACGTTTTCATTCTGAACGTTTCACCGTGGCCGTGGTTTCCCTTTTGCTGTGTCAGTGCTCACGTCCACGTCCGCGGTTTGTCTTCTGTCAGTCTCAAGTCGATGCCGCTACATCAGTGAGCCGGAGCTCAGATTTTCATCCTGAATATACGCTGTGCCGCAAAGGGAGGGCAAAAAACCCAACCCCAAAACAAAGCACCTCCCTGTAGGAACAACCCTAGGGCATTAACGGTGTTCCTCTGAAACGCTCCTGAGAAAGACACAAACAGACTTTTTGAGAGCCCTTCGCTGGGTGAGGTCACTGCTTCGGTTCCCTCCGACTTTGGGGAAATCGGGAGAAGGGCCGAGGAGGAGCACGAAACCCGCAACCTGCTGACTGGCTGCGGAGGAATTCCTCGCCCACCGTGCTGGGAGGAATAACATCCTTCAGTAAAAACCCGATTCACACTATTTACCTGTGTGCAGACAGCTGCAGGGACTATTTCTGTCTCAGCTCATCCAGGATGTTCTTGTCCTGGAGGAAACATGAGGTCCTCTTCTTCCTGTGACCTTTTTCTGTTGATGTTCCAGGCTGAAAAAATTAAAAAGAAGCGAAACACCCTGTTTGGAACGTTTCACGTTGCTCACAGCTCGTCTCTAGATGATGTCGATCATAAAATCTTAACTGCAAAGTGAGTATCTACTTAATATCTCCCCTTATTTCTGCCCACCCCTTCCATCCCTCTGCTACTACAGACACGCGCGTACTGTAGCCCCTACAGGTGCTCTTGGTCTCACCTCACTGAGTTTTTGTTCTGTTGACTTTAGTTGACTGGGGTTGGACTTGCTCCTTGTAATGAATAACCTCTTAATTTTATCTGTGTGAAACAAGAAATGGCGGTTACACAGAGCAATTACACGTCCTGTCACAGTGTGGATTCGTGCGGCTGCAGCATTCTTGAGCCGCTATCCCTGGCGATTGCAGTTGTTGCTGTTTTTTTTTAATTCCCGTATTCCTGAAAGTGGAGTGAAAGATGTCTCAAGTATTGGGATAGAAAGCCGAACCGCGAGACTCCCTGTTTCAGACAACTTGTGGTGTGTTTCCCCTTCACTCCCTACGTTTTCCCTTGTTTAACCTTCCTTCCAGGCAAGCGCTGAGCGAAGTGACGGCGGCGCTGCGGGAGCGCCTGCATCGCTGGCAGCAGATAGAGCTGCTCTGCGGCTTCCAGATCGTCAACAACCCGGGCATCCACAGCCTGGCCTCAGCCCTGAACATCGACCCCAGCTGGATGGGCACCCCGCGGCCCAACCCCTCGCACTTCATCATGACCGATGACGTGGACGATTTGGACGAAGAGCTCGTGTCTCCCATGTCCATACAATGTACGTGGTCCGTGTTAGCTGCGCGTGGTGAGTCTGCGTCCGCCGGGGACCGCGACGTGGGGCAGCCCTGGAGCGGTAGTTCAGATGTGTTAGGAGGAATTAAGGTATCTAAGTGGATTTGTAAATGACCGAAGACAAATTGTTAGTCGTTGAGGGTCAGGAATGTCCAGAAGTGGCAGACCACCGCTGCTGGGGTTGCTTGGAGCCTGTTAATTCCAGCAGAACTAGCAATTTGTAGATGTTGTCACTCATCATTTAACCGTATCTGTGCTGTTCTGTTCAACTCACTGAATTTATGCCTTTGCAAACAACGCCGAAGGCGTGGGCTGGACTCCCAGGAACGGGAAGGGAAAGTGGAGTGCAGTGTCCCCTCTCCCCCGGGGTAGAGCACTTGTTGGGGATGTAAGAGGACTTGGACGCCCCCTCCTCGTGCACAGCTTTGGACTGGCACCTCTTGTTGTTCTGTCTGGGGAGGAGCAGTCTGCTGTGCTGATGCTGCCTCCCTGTCGCGACCCGTCAGCGTTCCCTGCAGCAGAGACACGCCGGGGTCCCGCGTCCCCTGCCTGTGCTGCAGTCACCGAGGCGGGCGTTCGCCCCCTCTTTACCGGTGACTGTCGGTACACAGAGCGCATCGGCTCCTGCGGGGAGGAGTGGGGCCGCTGGCGGGGGAGATGGTCCCGCTCGCGTGAGCCCGGCTCTCTCGGAGGAAGGGGCTGAACTGGGGACACCCTGTGCCTGCCGCTCCCTCAGCCGCGGGGCTCTTGGGTCGAGGGAAGGCTGTCTCCTCTCCGCTGAAGGTTTGTGAATCGGTCCCGACTACTGTTCCCATGTTGAACTGACCCAGATTTGGCCTTGCTTCTCTCAAAAAAGCATTTTCCAAATACAGTTTCCTATCTGTAGCTGTTGCACAAGAGGTCGGGAGGACGGAGGAGCAGTTCCGGGCACGCTGACGGCGGTCTGGGTGGCTGGAGCTCCGCCGCCCGAGCTCCAGCGGGGAGAGGGGAGCCTGCGCTGACAGTGTTCGCTGCGGCGCTCTTTTTTAGTTAATGTCACAAGATTCGGGTCACTTTCTAGTGAGGACCTCACCCAAAGTCTGTTTAACTGGGCAGAAGGTGGGGAAGAGGAACAGAAGAGCCTCGGGGTTGGCAGCGAGGGCTGCGGGAGGTGCCCGTACGTGCCCTCGCCGTCCCCCCGTCGTGGCTTCGGGCTCCGGTTAGAGGCTGTGAAGGTCCGGAGGCGCGTGCTGAGGTCGGGCTCAGGGCCACGGGGGGAGAAGGCAGAGCACTGCGGGTCTGGGCAGTCTGCAGGATGCTAAGGCAGGAGGAACCGCGTATCTGCGTGTTTCCAGGGCTCAGCCACCGTGGGGGTTTGTGGGGTTGGTGTGCTCAGGGGAGGTTTAAACCCTCAAACAGATAACGGTGTCCTGCTCGGTTTTGAGATCATCAGTTCCCGTTAGAAGCCAAGCCCGGCAGCTCTAATAACACACCTGCGAAGATGCAAGCTAGGTGTTAATGAGAGAGGGATGTCTGAACAAAAGTCCTAAGTAACACCGGAAGGGCGCTGGCCGAGGCTGTGAGCCGTATGAGGGGTGAGCCCTCGTGCGAGATTTCAAGCCTCAGCTTCTCCGTGCCTTCCTTGAGACACCCCGAGGGGGATTTTTTGCAGCGAGGACTCGCAGTTCCCATCACGCCACGACGGGTGGCGAGCCTGCCCGCCTGCCTCGTGCCGCAGCGCTGCTCCGCGTCCCCGCGGGGGAGGACTCGGTGCGGCAGGCGCTGGGTGCCCGGTGTCCCGAAGCACGGGGGTGTTTGCCTTCCCCTAGAGGGTTTTTCTTTCCCGGTGTACAAAAGCTGCTTCAGGAGAGAAGAGCGGAGTTTTTCCTCCCCAGATGCGCTGGGGACGTTGCCGACTGCCCGTGATGATTCTCCCAGTAAATCACGTTTTTCTCTCCTGTTCACACCCGGTTGGCCCATCCCAGACGCAGCCTGGCTTTTCGGGCGCAGGTTCAGTGACCGCTCGTCTCTGTCCTTGGAGGATCAGTCCCTCTGGAAATACCCTGGTTTGGTTCTTTTCAATTATATTTTAATTTTTTGTTCTACCCTCTGCCCTTTTCCTGGACTAAAATACATACACGAATTTTCCAACTTTTCTGGCACAGAAAACTAATGAGTGTACCTCTCTTCACTGAGTCATCAGCATCTTTACTAACCCCTGGGAAGAGTCTGGTGGGATGAAGAAGAATCACAGTTCGCTGTAGTCCTCACGCGCTTTGGGGTTTTGCTTTTTGAAAAAAAAATCCAGTTATGGCCTCCGGAGGGTTGCTTTTTACTCTCTTTTACCCCTGAGGTGGAGGTTAAGGACTCAGGCTAGGCCAGGAGGAGGTGATGACGTTCCTTCCCCACCCCACCTCCTCCTCCTCCTCCTCCCCGCTGCCCGCCAGGCT